AAAAGTATATCATATAAACATGTATAACTCCTTTCTGATATCTATTACTCGACTTGCCTCGTGATCGAAAATGTCGACAAGAAACTTTCAAAAAACTTAATCAACTCATCTTTAGCATTCGACAGCAAAAAGAAAAAACAACAGAAAAAGAAATATATGAGCTGCCACCATTAGTCAAACAAATTATCCGATGTTTATATCCATCAGACATTGATGACAAAAAGTTTTTAGAAAAACCAGACATCATCTTCAATCTGCAAACATTTATTGAGCTGTTTCGTATCTGATTAGTGTTTTTGCCAATCATTTTCAATTCGTTGTTCATTTTTTTATAATTATCTTAAGAACATATAACTTCTATAAAAAGAATAGCAGTACAATTGATTAATATTATATTAATGGAATACTTTGAAACAGGTTGAAAAACTGTATTCTTAAAAAAACTTTAGGTTTTTGTGGATACATTACCGCGCAACGTGCTTGAACTATAAATATTCAATGTTGAGGATAAAATATAAATATATAATCTTTATCTTGAGTGTTGGTATGTGCTTAGTGGCCACTATAAAAGTATTCTATTCAATGTTGCTCCAAGTGGCAACTCAGATTTTCGAAAATCAAAAAATTTTGAAAAATTACGAAAAATTTTTGTAAAATATGATAGTAGGGGGTCCAGTTTTTTATTAATAAGTCCGCGAAAATCTGATCGTTTTGCAAAAAGCTACCTATATTCGGAAAGAGGAAGCTTTGGCGCATCTTCCTATGTAAAAAACTCAATTTCGATTTTTCTTCAAAAAATTGGGTTTTCTAAGGGAGGGGGGGTCCCCTTAATGTCGAAATGATACTACATAATCTTATTTGTTTTTCGTTGCATTTCTTGATCTTCACCTACACATTAGATATGTAGTGTTTTTTGTGTATTTTTTGTGAATAAGTTTTGCATTGAGTGAAATGGTTTGACGAGAAGTGTCTTGTCTTAGTTTTTTTTTATTAGTTAAAGGATATATTTATTATATTGTCTTATTTTTATAGTGAAACACATTGAAAATAAAATATAAATCAATGAATGAAAAGTCAGTGGAACGTAGATCCCAACAGTCTAATATAATATCGATTAGTCTGCAAAAAATCACCCTTTCTGATAAATTTCTGATTTTTCCGAAAAAATTTTTGATCGTTTTCTGATTTTGAAAAAAAAATTTCTGATTTTTAAATTTTTGATCTGGTCACCCTGATTGAGATATTTGTGATTGAATTTATTTCAATGTATGTGTGTATGTTGATGATAGCCTAATTAATATCGTCTTTTCATCACTCTCTGACGAAAAAAAAAGAAATTATCGATTTTTTGACATATAAATATGAATGATTTTCTATGCAAAAATCATTCAATTTATTGAATCAAATAGTAATCTTTTCTTTTTATATTTTAGATTGGCTTCAATGATACAAAATTATTCAAATCAACGCAATAAAAAAATGTAGGTGTTCGTTTTTTAATTTTCTTTTTCCTGTTACGATCATATGGAGAGTGGTAAGTTCTTCTATGATCTTTTTTATGTATTTTCTTTAAATTTTACCCGTTCGTCAATGAAGAAGAAGATAACAGGGGTAAGTTATCTTTTTTTTTGTTCATCGTTTAATATTTTTTGTCTTTTCGTTTTAGTTATCAACATCATTCAACATCGACGAGAGAGCTTTTTTTTTCTTTGTTTTTCTTTCGATGAGACAAGTTAGTGTGAGTGTTGGAGAAAGAGAGGGGGGGAAGTGAGGTACGTTGAGATTATGGCTTCGCTGTATAAGAAGGACTTTCGAGTAGCCCCTAAAAACCCGGACAGGAACTATCTTGTTGTTCCTGGCACACGATCGAGCCCCCAGACTCACTGACATATGACATCGGATGAGTGCATGTGGATGATGTGGGTCTTCCCACGTGTGCATGAGCATTACGCTCGCCTTGGCTCCACCAGAGTGGTTCCTGATCGCGCGAGAATAGAATAGCAATGAATTTTTTTTTCATTCCATCGCGATTAATTTGTAAAAGAAAGAGAACAAAAACAATAAAAATAATCATTGTATTGAGTTCATTCTATATGAAATTTTTGTACTCGATTATTTCCCCATTCGACGACATAGAGATTGCCATGTCGATCAAATGATAAACCTATGGGGATATTGAGTTGATTCGACTGTGCTCCTTTACCGTTTCCACCAACAATGACACTTCCTTGTGTGGCTCCTTTTGGCCAACGCATGATTCGTTGATTCCAAGAATCAGCCACATAGACAGTACCCAATGGATCGACAACGATTCCTAGAGGATTATTCAGTTGTGTAAGACTATTTCCTTGTCCTTGACCACCGGCTACAACAATGCCTTGTGTTGCATCTTCTTCCCATTTCATTACACGATGATTTTCATAATCAGACACATATACTGAATGATCTCGATCGACAAATACGTAGTCTGGACAAGAAAGTTGATCGAGACGATTTCCTTTTCCATTCCCACCTGCAACCACTGTTCCTTGAGTGTCACCAATTTTATACCGTCTCACTTCATGTTGTTCATAGTCAACGACATAGAGTGATCCATTTTCGTTCATTGTCAAACCGATGCAAGCGATATTCGAAATGATTGTTTCTCCACTAGTACCATTTCGACGTGGCCAACGAACTATTCTTGTATTCCATGTATCGCTGATGATGAGACTATCGCTCTCTTTGTCAATAATCGCATCACGTGGGCGATCTAATTGATGAGCTCCATCTCCATTTTCATCTCCATTTTCATCTCCATTTTCGCCAGCAACGACTTTTCCATTCGTTGCACCAGATTTCCATTCCACTATACGGTGATTAAGGCAATCAGCGACATAAATCGTTTGATCATCGTCGATGTACAAGCCCAATGGCCAATAGAGTTGATTTATTCCACTGCCTCGTCCATTTCCTCCAGCAACAGTGAGACCATTCTGTGACCATTTTGCATTCGGATGAATATCAATGGAACTTGCACGTAATGGTACTGAAATGAAACAAAAGTATGAAGTAGAAATAAACATCGATTTCATTGAAATGA